TTAAAGAAAATGGTGTGTGTGTTGAGGGGGGGTGGGTGTCAGTGAAATAGAGATGTTGAAGCAGTCGGAGGCATTTTTATTTTTGTTTTTGTGTTTTCACAAGGGAGTCCTAAATATATTGAATTTCTGGCTTGCCTCAGCTCCTAAAGCTGTTTCTTTGGGATTTCATTCTCCTTTGAGGTTCTTCAACCTCCCCCTCCTCCGAGGTGGCTAAAAAGAGAGACAGCAAAGAAAAAGTTACACTTCCTTTGGAATCTAAATATTTGAGTTCACGAGTAAACGGAGACATGTTTGTGTGACAGTTCTCACCAATTCATGCCTCATAGTGATTTCAAACTAAAATAGAAGTGAAGCTGGCAGTTTGCAGGTTCAAAGATGTCTCAGGGAGACTTCCCAGACCCTATATATTGATTTAGCAGGGGAGGAGGCAGGTTATAGGCTTAGTAACAAAGCAGCTAGCTGGAGCTATGGTGACCTGAAGCTGAGCAGAGAATACAAAGCCGGTGATTTGCTTGGGCAAAGCCTTTTCAGTTCAGGTTAAGGACGCAGATGGCAGCGCTGGAATAACAAGAGCTAGCTCTCCTAGAGGCTGTCCCTGTGCCAAAGCACTTTACATGGATCCACTCATTTAGTCTTCCTAAAAACCCACGATGAGGCTATCATCACCACTCCTATCTTACAGGCAGAGAGGCCGAGGTCCAGAGAAAGTGCAAGACTTGCTCAAGACCACACAGCTAGGAGCAGCGGAGCCTGGCTTTCACCAGGCGTTCTAGTTAGAAGCCATGTTATCAGCTCCTGTGCTGTAGGGCCAGATACTTGATCAGAAACCAGATGGGAAGAGGGGAAAGAGAGCTATGATGAATGTTCTTGGTGAATCAGTCCCAGGTGTCTTCCAGTGTAGAGTAAGGGTTCAACACTTCGGGCACTCTCTCTGCCCTCAGCTGTGAGGGGCTCTGCCTAAGCATGTGCTCTGCACCCCAGGGCCTCCCGCTAGTGAGATGGACGTCTCAGCTGGGCTCTGGGGATCTGGGAGCACTAGCCTGTGAGTTCCAGCTGTTAATATTTAGGAATATTTTCAAAAGAAACTTTGTCATTGTAGACCAGTTTTAGATTTACAGAAAAATTACAATGTGCAGAGTTTTATACACGCTGCATCGTTTCCCCCATTACCAACATCTCATATTAGTACGGTACATCTGTTACAATTGATGAAGCAATATTGATACATTACTATTGAAGTTCATACTTCATTTGATTTTGTTAGTTTTTACCTAATGTCCTTTTTGTGTTCCAGGATCCCATCCAGGATACCACGTTATATTTACTTGTCATTTCTCCTTAGGCTCCTCTTGGCTATGGCAGTTTCTTACACTTTACTTGGTTTTGATGATCTTGACAATTTTGAAGAGTGCTGGTTAGGTATTTTGTAGTCTGGCCCTCAGTTGAGATTTATAGGATATTTTTCTCATGATTAGACTGGGGTTTTATGATTTTGGGAAGAAGACCACAGAGTTAAAATGCTATTTTCATCACATGAAGGGTACATGCAGTCAACATGGTTTATCACTATTGGTGTTGACCTTGACCACCTGGCTGAGATAGTCTGTCAGGTTTCCCCACTGTAAAGTCCCCCCCCCCCCCTATGTGCTGCTGAAGCGAGCACCACACTGCACTCTTTGGAAGGAAGTCATTATGCACAGCCCAACTTACTTTTGTTAGCCAGTTGTTAAAACTTTGGTAGCTTCACACCAGCCAATGTAGGCGTATTTACACCATGGAAATCAGTAAACTATAAATCTGGGCTCTTTTTGGAGAGTTGGGCGGCCAGGACACCATTGGATGTGCAGGTTGGGTTGAGTCTCAGGAGATGATGGGTGAGCTGGTGGAAAGGCACTTGAATGAAGGGGCTCACTGGGTGGAAGTGAAGAAGACGTGGAGACAGGATGGGGTGCTGTGACATGGATTGGGGTTAAAGAAGCCTGGTACAGGCATACAACCAGCTGGGAACCTGACAGAAGCTGTTATCCTTGTTTAACATAAACAAGGCTGGGACCTGATGGACCTACCTTTGTGTTTTCCTTTTCTTATACATGGTTGTAATAATTTCCATTTATTAAGCACCTCCTTCATATAAGGCATATTTTTGTGTATAAGGTATATAAATGTAAATTCAGTTCTTACAAATTTACAAGGTGGGTATTGTCATCTTCATCTATATATACACTGAGTGGCTAGATTATTATGACCGGCCAGATTATTATGACCACCCCATCAGTACTTCATTGACACTTCCAAAAATACTAAATATTGAAAACTTCCTAAGCAAATACTCTCAAGGTTTTATTATTATTATTATTTGCATAAC